AAATTTGAAAGTTTTTAAGAGCCCCAAGTTATTCTTATGGAGAATAGCATTGAAATTTGATGACTTTGTTATGGTCATCTGAATCGTTTAGAAACGTGCTAGAGACTTGTAATTTGGTAGTAATGTAGTATGGGATCCTAAGTTAAGGGTAATATTTACAACCCACCCCCCCCCCGAAATATTAAATCCTCCCCCCAATGTTATTCTTACAGATGTATAACTCTAAATCACGTTTACCCATTTCTAGATTGACTGGATATCTGAAATTTGGCATGATTGTACATCTTGCGCCCTTTCCGAAAAGTGAAATTTTACAAATATAACTCCCCCCCCCCACGAAAATTAGAATCCCCCCCCCAATGTTATTCCTACAGGTGCATCGGTCTAAATCAATTTTACCCACTTCTAGATTAGCTAAAGATTTGAAATTTGGCTCAATTGCAGGTCTTGCGCCATGGCCCATTTCTTTTTACCCCCAACCAAAAAAGGGGGCCTGGGGGCGGAGGGCATTGTCATCCCTTTTATTGTTTATAATACTTTGATAAAGGTTTTTATGTTTTTAATATTTAACATTGGAGAATTTAAACGTTGTTGAGTGCACAGGTGTGCTGCGATTGGGGTTTAATACATTTGGACTTATTCAAAAGTAAAATTGTTTTCTGTGCTGCACTCTGTAGAAACACTGTGGCACTATTTCAAATCATGACTAATGCTAATACAGAATGTTGTGATTATTCAATCCTACAAAACAGTTGGTGAAAGTAAACATCTGCTTTTAATATATTTATTTGTTAACATTGTAAATAAAAAAGTCTGACATCGGCCCACTTAAAACCCTCTGGGGCAGAGCCCTTTTGATGGATCTGCACCAAACTTCACTCGAACCATCCTTGAAAGATGCTTAGTAATGCCTGAAAGTTTCATTACAATATGTCGAGCGGTTTCGGAATCCATAACGTATATACATACACATATATATATATATTTTTTTTTTTTATATCAGAATTTATTTTACAATCTGTTCAAACATGAGAACAATAAGTAAAACATATATCAAAACAATGTCATGAAGCAAGCACTTGTTCATCAACAAGTCTTGCCAAAAATTTGATCAGTCATTTAAATATTTACAGAATTCTGTAGCTTAGGTCCAGCACATGCACAACACTTTGGTAATTGGTAACACACACCTGGTAAATACACACATATATCCATACATATAGTTCCTCTTTTCTATAAGTATAAAAGAGGATGTTGGTATATTTGGCAGTGATAAACTCAGACACCGCTGGACCGATGGCCACGAAACTTGGTACATACGTGTAGAATTTCATGGAATAGGTTTATACACCATCAATTTCGTGATCCGTCCAATCGGCTCCGCCCCAGTGGCTCTGGAGTTTCCCATGTTAACCTTGTGAGGAATGGAATTAATGAATCTTAACAGCTGTTTCAATTAAACAAGTTGGTTCTGTTCTATGATGTTCAATAGCATTAAAGTTACAAGGATTACCAACAGGGTGCAGCACTATTATTTCTTTTACATTTATGACAACAGCTAATTTACAACCAAAAGGTGAGTGAGCGTAGCGAACGAACTTCAACCTATGGAGGCGAGTTAGCGTAGTGAACGAGCTAACCTGAAGGCAAGTGAGCGTAGCGAACGAGCTAACCTGAAGGCAAGTGAGCGCAGCGAACGAGCTCCAACCTAAAGGTGAGTGAGCGTAGCGAACGAACTTCAAACAGGACGTGATTGAGCCATGCGAACGAGATCATCTTGAAAATTAAGAAGTTAAACGGGGCAAAGCCCGCGGGTTACAGCTAGTATAGATATAGATTAATAGGCAAGCATGTTTCTTTAAAACCTTTTTTCTCAGCTCGTGTGCATCGTAGGGAAAATCTACGCTTACCGTTAGAAAGATATTTTCCTGTAGAAGTGCAGAATCCCTTTAAAAATTAAAATAAGCTCAAATACAAGCACAAAAAATTGATTTGAAATTAAAAAAAAATTAACATGGGCTTTATGGGTTGCCAAGTTGGCAACAAAATAACAACAAATTATAAACAGAAAATCAAAACAAATGGAAGAAATTACAATCACATGTTTTATTTACAGCGTGGGGTGAAAATAGAGAAGCCTGTAACTTTACATTCCATCCCCATGTTAAAGCTGTCACCAGTTTTTAAAATTAAATTCGTCGTAGTTGATGTAAGCCACCTACAGATTGCGCTGATCTAAATGACTAATTTTCTGTCTAATTCACAATGTTTTTTACCAAGTGAAACTTATGGAATGACTTATTATGAGCTATAGCAACTGTTATGACCCATCAACTTTATCAGCTCAGCAACAAAAAATAATGCAGAAAATATAATTTAAGACACGCATTCGGTAACTGGCTAACACAACAATATGTTTTTAAATTTAAAAATAGCGACAACTGGTTTATATAAATGGGATGTCTACTTCAGTATACAATAGTCAATACGTGTATATTACATGTTTCTGGTCGAGTTTTCGACCACTGGACGACCACTAGTTAATAGGCAAGCATGTTTCTTTAAGCCCTTTTTTCTAAGCTCGAGTGCATCGCAGGGAAAATCTACTCATACTGTTATAAAGATATTTTTCTGTAGATGTGCCCTTTATAAATTAAAATTGGCTAAAAAGTTAGCTTAGAAAATAAGTTTATAATATTTTTTTAAATTACATGGGTCTATTGTCTATTGTAAGTTTGCAGTTGAGGGAGGAGCCTATTTACTATATGGTTTTGAATGAACCAATGAGAACCCCATCCAATGGTGTTGCCAAGTCTGTTAATACCAGCTGATTTTAATAAATTGCTTAGTATATTTTATTAGTGTTGTCAACGGGCGATGTGGCAACGTCGCACTAGCCTTGTCTTGTGATTGGCTGCCTCCAACTGCAAACTTACGTGGTCCGGACAATAATGGGTTGCGATACTGGTGACAAAATATCAACAAAATATAAACAGAAAATCAATACAAATGGAAGAAATTTCAATCACATGTTTTATTTACAGTGTGGGGTGAGAATATAGAAATCTGTTTATTACATATTTTTGGTCGAACTTTCGACCACTGGACGACCTCTAGTATTAATAATTGGTCTCCATGGAAGCATGAGAAAATTCACAATGTTTACCTTTGCATACATTTCAATGTAAACAATCAGATCAGAACTGCCAAATGCTTGATTCACAATTTCAGACAGCTGATCCAAACAAATTAAATAATGTAATATTTTACACAGCTATGTGGTAGTAGGTTTATTTAAGACTATTATAAAGCTTTGACACGAAATATTTATTTTAAAACTATGTCATTGATTAAAGAAATAAAAATAAATCTATAACCGTTGCTGTATCAACCCAGGCTCTCTGCATTTGATTTATTAAAGTGTCTTAAATTATGAAAATAATGTTATTGATATATTTTCACGTAAACAGTAGGACAATTACAATGTAGGTTATACTTGTTGTATATTTTGGTTGTTTTTTATAAATTCGAACTACTTAACAAGTGTTTGGATTAGGCGGTATTAATAGTACATCTTCCCATTGCAAAGCACGGGTACAGCAGCTAGTTAATTATATTTTCTCCCTACTTTGTGTTTCTGACCAAGTTTATGGGTCATAATAGTTGCTATAGCTCACATTAGGTAATTTATTAAGCTTGACTTGGTAAAAGATTTTGTGTATTCGAAATAAATTAGTAATTTAGTTAAGCACAATCTGTCAGTGCCTAACATCAGCTACAACGACTTTTATAAAAAAAAATTGGCGACAAATTTTACATAGGGATGGAATGTCTAAAGTTGTATCAATAGTCAAACGTCACATCACCTGTCACAGTAACAAAAACCTGGGGGGGGGGGGGCGAAATAAAATCATAGACTGTATCTTACACTCTGTTATTGGCACACTTCACCTTGCTATTTTATAATATTAGTATTTGCTTGTAGTATTTAATATTAGGACTTTATAATAATATTTTCTGCAGCTGTGGTCTATATATATGGGATGTCTACCTCAGTATGCATAAGTCATTGGCACAGTATATAAAATAATGCATCAAGCTAATAGGCATAGGTATGAGGGAAGAGAATAGTACCTCACTTCTTTTATGAGGAGCGCCACAAGGCCTAAGTACCAACAAGCTCTGAAAACCTAATTAAATTGTGGTCCTGACTAATATCAGCCATGAGTTAAAAAACAGTGTAAAAGAAACAATAATCACTCATTTTAAAATTTAAAAGAACAAATAAACAAGAGAAAATCACTCAGTGTTCCAAACATAAAATCATCTGAATGAGAAATGAAATCATATTATATTTTAATAGGTATGAACTGGTTGGCTCTCTTATATTACCACTACGACTTGTAAACAAGTTTTATTAACGTCTCTTGATAATTAATTGGTAAACTTCACTGACGTACGTTGAAGCTACACAACTAAAAGAAACCCTCAAAACATTGTGGTTATTCCTGGGATTAACCAAAAGTTATGGATTACAGAGTAGTTAATAGGTTATAATTTTTAGATTAGTAAAAAATGTTACCTTTTTCCTGACAAAATGCTGAGTTAAATTATACAGAGAGAATAGTTTGTATAAATTTAAATAGTTGATGACGTTGAGATTCTATAATCTATGCTAATTCTGTAAGTTACCAAAAACTATTTGTATCTCTTTACGTTCTCAATTCAGTGTGAAGCAGGTATTAAACTACTACTCTGGTCTGTTAGAAAATTAAAAATTTGAAAGTAATTGTAATTGTAAAATTATTAAAGAATTGAATAAAATTAAACAATATTTAATCTAAATACCCCTCCCGCAGAAAACAATTTTCAATTTAAAGCAATTTTCTTATTTAATAAGACAAAGGAAGGTTGAAAAATGTTGAAATACTTTCTGTAGAAAGAAACACATGTGACCAAAAGTAAATAAATAATACAATTCTTTTGTTGTAACACATGTTAAACTACTATTAATGTTTAAATGTTGACTAATTTCTAAATTCAAATAAAAATAATTTCAGTAGGATTAGTTTAAAAGTGATTTAAACTAATTTAGCAGTTGATATATTTAGGGACTCACTTTAAATTGTGTGTTGTGTCATCATTTAAAAAGAAAACTCTATTTCGGATTCAAGCAAAACCTTCAATAACAGTAAGGTGCACAGCTCTTTAGTACTAATCCTAGGCTACCAATGGATATGGAGTTACATTAAAAATTGTAAATTCACTTCAACGGGGAAAAACATAGCCCTTTAGTAGATTACTACCTAATCATTTCTAACTAATCTGTAATAGATTTTTGTGATTTCGTGCCCAGCAATAACATAGTGAACCAGCGACCATTATATTTTAGTTTATGAACTAACTGTTCTGAACTTAACAAATATGATCAATTATTAAATTTAGCATGTTATCTGACAAGCCAGCCCTTAAATAACTTAATTTAAAATCAATCACCATATTGAAAAACAACAAAATTAATTTCACAATTTAGCACACTCATAATGTTGTTAGAAAATATTGAAGAGGCATGTACACCAGGTACTCATAATAATGGCTGAAATTGGATATTGGTTTCATTAGATAAGCATGCATTAACAAACACTTTCCATAAATTTATGATTTTTATTCCATTTCCAGATATGGCAAAACAAGATATTACAAATTTGGAAAATCTTCTTACGTGCAACATTTGCAGAAAAATATTTGATGAGGTGAGTTTTACCATAGAGAAGCTATAGGTTATACAGGGTGTCCCGTAAGTAAACAGACAAACTCCAGAAAATGGTTATAGTGCTATAAAATGGGTCAAAATAAAAAGAAAATCAAGATTGAAATTGTACCCTAAAAATTCTTTGTTAACTAAATAAATATACATCATTTTAAATTTTTTAAATAAGCTTTTAGCGAATTTCCCATAGGGAATAAGCTATTATCGTAGTAGGCCTACTACGGTACTCATGGTAAGACCTGGACCCGGGACCGATTTATTTTTCGTTTTGAGGTCCCTAGAGGCCAAAAACACCATCCGTTCAAAATCATATATAGGCCTTATAGTCTATATATACAGGGTGACAAAAAAGTCTGGAAACGGCTTAATAACTTTTTAACTAAATCCGTTAGAAAATTCAAACCTCTCACATCAACTTACATGTAGGTATAAAAACTACTTTTTCCAAGCATTTTAATTTTTTTACCTCTACCAGGGGACGGCCCATGAGGAGTAGGTACATAATCTTTAATGTAAGCATAGGTTGATATGCACATCATTTGAAAGGTCTGATCAAGTGGAGTTCATTGCCGGAAACCACGTCTCAAAAGGTTCATCCGTTACAAAATGGCGGCTATTCAAAGTTCTTGTGGAATATACCTGCACAGGCCTTAGTATTGGTAAATACTCGTATTAAACATTAGCTTGAGAGCTGAAATTGTATTTTAAAGTCAACTAGCTCATAGACTAAGTTTATTCAATCTTCAAAACAAATTTAACCGGGTTTCAGATTTCCCAGCTAATGTTGACTACGAGTATTTACCATTACTAAGGCCTGTGCAGGTATATTCCGCAAGAACACAATACATAATAGCAATTAAAAATCATCATGTGTTCATCATCATGTGTTTGGACTGCCGCCATTTTGTAATGGATGAGCCTTTTTTGACGCGGTTTCCGGCAATGAACTCCACTTGACCAGACCATTAAAATGATGTGCATATCAACCTATGCTTACATTGAAGATTATGTACTTACTCCTCATGGGTCGTCTCCTGGTAGAGGTAAAAAAATTAAAATGTTTGGAAAAAGTAGTTTTTATACATGTAAGTTGATGTGAAAGGTTAGAATTTTCTAACGGATTTAGTTAAAAGGTTATTAAGCCGTTTCCAGACTTTTTTGTCACCCTGTATATATTTATATATATATTAATATAAACACATATTAACCCTTCCAGGGCTAAATTAAATGAAGAGCTGGAGCTTATAATTATTTTTTGCAAAAATTAAAAACCAAAGTGGTTGTGTTTTGTATTTATTTCATTTGAAATAATTCATGGACCATAAAAATATTTTCCTTAGGGCTGAACTAATTTTTGTACAAAAGTTATGAAGAAAACAAAATTTGATTTGACGGATATATACGTCTTTGGCCCACAAAAAACATAAGGTGGACGGATATATCCGTCTGCCGCCCTCAGTGATAATCACAAAATATGAACACTGCCAATAATCTTGAGTATTCTTGTGGGCGGCAGACGGATATATCTGTCAACCTTAGTCTATTCATTCCCTTGTTTAATCTTTTATCCATAAAAATGTATCTATCATTCTGAAGTAAATCTAAACCACTCAGTTCCGCTCCCATGTCCTCAATCCCATTCCCCGCCAAGACTTCCACTACGTAAAGACTGTTCTTCAGGTTCATCATATCAATCACATTCCATTATATTATTTTCACTGCCAAGTATAAAACCCCTCTTAGACATACTTTTATTAAGCATGTCAATAACATCTACAAATTTCAGATTGTTTGCATTAGCAACTTTAGCTCAATAACATAAATACCCCCGCCGCAGCAAACCTGCCGACTAAGCGAATTTCCATCTGAATGATTTTCACTTAATTCTATTTAAATAACATTAGGTTTAACGAGTACCTAGGTTTGCTGCCACAAGGAAACTAAAACTAATAAAGTGTGTTTTAGTAAAATATTAATAGCTTAGTATAAAATAAATAAATTTGCCAAGTTTGATCAAAATATATCCATAAACAAACAAACTACAACATTTTCAATATTCTCCATAAGAATAACATGGGAATTTTTCATTTACAATTTTTTGAATTTTCTCCGTTACCAATAACCGCACAAAAACATTTTGATATACTAAATTATTTGTTTTTTTAAGCTCTTTAATATTGTCTAGAGATAAATTGGGAAATTTTGTGTTTTAGCGGTCAAAAATGAGAAAAACCAATTTTTACCCCATAAAACCCCGTTCCCATGGTCCGATCATGCTGGTTCGCGAACTCATTCAAGTTCATCCCCCCTTACACCTTTAAACCAAATTTCATCAAAATCGGACAAAAATTACTCAAGTTATCGTGCGGATGGACACATATATCTAATATATAAAATTCTCGTGTCACAGTGTTTGTCTGCAAACTCCTCCGGAATGACTTCACCGATCGTTATGAAATTTGGTGTGTAAATTCTGTAGGTATGCGAATCGGACGTAAACTATTTCCCGTTTCGAAATTCTTAAAAGGGCTCCGCCCCAGTGGCTCTGGAGTTTCCCATGTTAACCTTATGAGAAATGGAATTAATGAATCTTAATAGCTGTTTCAATTAAACAAGTTGGTTCTGTTCTATGATGTTCAATAGCATTAAAGTTACAAGGATTACCAACAGGGTGCAGCACTATTATTTCTTTTACATTTATGACAACAGCTAATTTGCAACCAAAAGGTGAGTGAGCGTAGCGAATGAACTTCAACCTGGAGGCGAGTTAGCGTAGCGAACGAGCTAACCTGAAGGCAAGTGAGCGCAGCGAACGAGCTCCAACCTAAAGGTGAGTGAGCGTAGCGAACGAGCTCCAACCCAAAGGTGAGTGAGCGTAGCGAACGAACTTCAACCTGGAGGCGAGTTAGCGTAGCGAACGAGCTAACCTGAAGGCAAGTGAGCGCAGTGAAGGAGCTCCAACCTAAAGGTGAGTGAGCGTAGCGAACGAGCTCCAACCCAAAGGTGAGTGAGCGTAGCGAACGAACTTCAACCAGGACGTGATTGAGCGATGCGAACGAGATCATCTTGAAAATTAAACGTAACGGTACTTTCTTTCCATCGGTCTGTCTTAGGGGAAACCTATAACTTAGGCGATACGAAGTTCGCCGGGTCAGCTAGTATCTATATATAAAAGGCAAAGCCCTCACTGACTGACTGACTGACTCACTCACTCATCACTAATTCTCCCACTTCCCATTTACCTAGGAGGCTGAAATTTGGTACACTGATTCTTTAGGCATTAAATAGGAAAACTAAGTTGTTTTTATTCTGATCGGACTCTCGGGCTCCGCCCCAGTGGCTCTGGAGTTTCCCATGTTAACCTTATGATTTTTCATATTTAAAAGGAATTTCTTAACAGCTGTTTCAATTAAACAAGTTGGTTCTGTTCTATGATGTTTAATATCATTAAAGTTACAAGGATTACCAACAGGGTGCAGCACTATTATTTCTTCTACATTTATGACAACAGCTAATTTGCAACCAAAAGGTGAGTGAGCGTAGCGAACGAACTTCAACCTGGAGGCGAGTTAGCGTAGCGAATGAGCTAACTTGAAGGCAAGTGAGCGCAGCGAACGAGCTCCAACCTAAAGGTGAGTGAGCATATCGAACGAACTTCAACCAGGACGTGATTGAGCCATGCGAACGAGCTCACAGCTCACTTATGAAGTAAAACGGGGCAAAGCCCGAGGGTACAGCTAGTCTATATATATAAAAGGCAAAGCCCTCACTGACTGACTGACTCACTCACTCACTCACTCATCACTAATTCTCCCACTTCCCATTTACCCAGGAGGCTGAAATTTGGTACACTGATTCTTTAGGCATTAAATAGGAAAACTAAGTTGTTTTTATTCCGATAGGACTCTCAGGCTCCGCCCCAGTGGCTCTGGAGTTTCCCGTGTTAACCATGTGAGTACTCATATTTAAATGGAATTAATGAATCTTAACAGCTGTTTCAATTAAACAAGTTGGTTCTGTTCTATGATGTTCAATAGGATTTAAGTTACAAGGATTACCAACAGGGTGCAGCACTATTATTTTCTTTAATTTATGACAACAGCTAATTTGCAACCAAAAGGTGAGTGAGCGTATCGAACAAACTTCAACCTGGAGGCGAGTTAGCGTAGCGAACGAGTTAACCTGAAGGCAAGTGAGCGCAGCGAACGAGCTCCAACCTAAAGGTGAGTGAGCGTAGCGAACGAACTTCAACCAGGACGTGATTGAGCCATTTGAACGAGCTTTCTTATGAAGTAAAACGGGGCAAAGCCCGCGGGTGAGTGAAAATTTAAAAACGTACGTTTTCAGAAAAAGCACTTTGCAAATTTTTTCCCCTTTTTTCAAAACTTTAATTATTTTTTTTATTTCATTAACATTTGAAGTTTCATAAAATGTCCCTGGTAACGCAATATCTTTGGTGGTTTCTTTTTAAAAGAGCATCTTTAGTGGAAAAACACAAAATCCTGTCACGACCATAACGGATGTTTAAATGAATATTAAAAATAGTTAATATTATTTTTATAACTATGTTTTGCTATAAACTAATTTACTTTTATGACCATTATACAATAAAAAGGTCACTGAGCTTTTGGTGTATTTGGTCTTTATAAAAAAAAATAAAAAACTCAAAAAATTGAAAAAAAACCAATAAAATCTTTTTCAGTTTGTATAACTCCGAAAAAACTTACCTGAGACCCGAAAAATCGTTATGTTTGTATAGAGGTATGCTTCTTTTGTGTATAAAACATTGAAATATGACGATATTTTAATTTTTGAAATTTTTATGATAAAAATTATAAACATGATGGTCAGGGACAAGCAGTACGGTCGTGAGTTTTCTGGAATAATCTAAATCTTTCTAAACAATCCTTCAATTATCCTGTTAGTTATAATAAAAATATGTGTTTCAATTGAACTAAACCGTTCAATTTACAATTATATTAAAGTTATTGTCACGACCAAACACACTATAATCCATAAGGCTAGATTGGTCGTGAAAAAACCCGCGATGGTCGTGAAACTTTGGTCGTGAAATTACGTGTTATTTTGCTCTGTTCTGGCGGTAGCCCTGCACCTCATGTTCGAGGATACAAAGTGGACTTCTAGGTTAATCTAGCAATTGAAATATCTTATAAACAAAAATTAACACCATGTCTACTTCATCGAATGACTACGTACGGTCATGGACACACCAAAATTACAAAAAACACAATCTTTCCTTTATTAATCTTGTAATTTCTCCTTTCAACTCGAAACGACCGGCACTACAATCCTGACGTACACCCCGAACTAGTCTCTAAAACCAACTGACTCCATCGACACCAGGCTTGCCACTGTCGTGCTCCAAAGTTGAAAATTTTTCCCAAATGGTCGTGACGCCAAATCGAGGGACAGACTTATTTTGTCATGATAGTCAGTTTGTAATGACAATAAAATTATAATATGCTCCTTTTTTGTATGTTTAATAACCATTGATGACATAAAAATATGGCTTTATATATTTCGGCATGAATAATTAGTCTAAGAACAGCGCGAAAGTTGGAAAGTGTACCCTAGGGACACGTCATGGTCGTGAATTTCGAGACTTTAAAAATACGAAAAAAATACCTAGAACCTATTTAGAACCAAATAAATGTGTGTAACATGTTGCCCCCGTCCCAAAAATATTAAAACACATAATAATATACTACAAATCCAGTATCTACGAAGTAAAAGGCCAGGGACATGAAAACGTACGTTTTTAAATTTTCACTCGGGTACAGCTAGTATATATATATAGATATATAAAAATTTGAACGAATGGTGTTTTTGGCCTCTGGGGACATCAAAATGAAAAAGTAAATCGGTCCCGGGCCTAGGTCTTACCATGAGACCTACGGTAATAGCTACTTCCCTATAGGGAAATTCGCTAAAAAATAAAGTACAAAACACAAAAATGTAAACATCACAACCATGTGTGAAGTGACAGCAATATTTACTTACGCACACTCTATGGTGCAAAATAGCCGAAACAGCTGCGGCAATTATTATTGCCAACCACAAAAACATAATATCCTATTTATAATGCAGTATATTACCGTATTATACACATTGTATATCAATTCGCTTTTTGGACGGATATATCCGTCTTTATCCCAGAAAAGAAATTTCTCGGGACGGATATATCCGTTTTCAGCCCAGAAAGTAAACAAAGATTGACGGATATATCCGTCCATAGCCCTGGAAGGGTTAAATAGAAAAAATCAGCTTGAACAAAAATTATCCGATTTTGATGAAATTCAGTACAAACATGTAAACCTACGTTTATTCTAACGAGTTCGGGAACCAGTATGATCAGACCATGTGAACGGGGGTTTATGGGGGGGGTTTTGGGGTAAAAATAGGTTTTTCTCATTTTTGACCCCAAAAAACATAAAACTTAGCAATTTCCTTCCAAACCATTTTGTAGAGCTTAAAAAAGAAATAATTTAGTATATTGAAGCGTTATTATGCGCTTAATAGTCACGGAGAAAGTTCCAAAAAATATGAATTTAAAATTCCATGTTATTCTTATGGAGAATAAGTAAACTGTTGTTTGCTTGTTTATGAGTATATTATTTTGATCACATTTTTTGGAAAATGCATTTATTTCATACTAAAATATTAACATTTTACAAAAAATAAAAAATAAACTTGCGCCCTGCCTATTGCAGCAAACCTAGAGTACTAGTTAAACTAATGCCATTTAAATAGAGAATAAATGTGATATTTTTAAGAAGACATTTTAGTGTAAATCCAATTAGGCAAATGGAAATTCGCTTAGTCTGCAGGTTTGCTGTGGTGGGGTTATTTATGTTGTTGCTATAGTGTTTAAAAAACTATGCACTCTTATGGCGATAATTAGCCTATTATTCTGTTTCAAAAAATATTATTCCATCGAAAAAATTACCAGTAACAAAATCTGTGACTATGTTGGCTTGAAGTAATATAGAAATTAAGTTATTACCTGTTTTAATTAAATATGGTAATTTAATGCTGGTCATACTGCGAGGAACCCCACAAATTATACTTTTATTAATTTGTGGTTACTTAATTGGATTAATCAACGTTGTTATATAACTGAATTTACCTGCATTACCTGTATACCCCACCTAACACGTAATAATATTGTTTTTGTCTTGGCTAAAATTACTTATCCATCACCGATTCAGGGCATAAAATAACATGTTAACTGGGCGACAGTGCTGGGATTTTGTCGCCCAGTGACTATGGGTGGTGCCAGAATATTTTTTTTAATAATTCACATTTTAAATGTATTGGAATTTAAAAAATAACATTATGTAAATATTTTAGAGTATTGAGCTATGATTTTGGCCCAAGAGGTTGTCAAGGGAGCCACAACCTCAAACCTATAAAGTTCTAGAATACGTAATTAAGCGAGATTAAATGGACTATTTACAAGTAAATATAATTGAAAAATTCATTAAAAGATATGTAGAAATGTGTAATTTTCACTTAAATTTATGCAAAAATTTCCGGGGGGGGGCCTAGGATCCCCCTTTTTTATGGGGGGTATTCCAGACCCCCCGGTAAGTCTGGCGCCACTGTCGCCCAGTGGAAATCCCTTAAAATATGCTCTGATCGCCATGCCTTTGATAGAAATAACGGTGTTTACATTGCCTGGAATCAGCAAGGTAAGTTAAAGGCTGACAAGGTAAATGCTTGGACGTAGATAAATAACACTGTACGTAGCTTTGTAGATAGCTGTTGTGGCTTTGTATGTAGTCTTGCAGGTCTACTGTATAGCAAGGTTTAATACACATTTTTATTTTTTGTATCAGCCTACAATCCTGGGCTGCGGTCACACATTTTGCTTTTCCTGTTTGACTAAAAGCACAAACTGTCCTGAATGTGCCCAAAAACTCTGCAGATGGAGAAAAAGGACCAACAGCAAAATTGCAATACAAGTCAAGTGGCATTTGGGAAACGAAATTGTAAAAAGTTTGAAAACGGATCCAAAAGGTAAGTTAGAACATGGTCATCATTGGACTAGGTCTACTCATACCCAGAGCTGTGCCTTAGGTATGTGGCTCAGTGAAAACATTCAGACATTTGTAACCCAACAAAAATAACCAACAAAAAATATCTCTGTATTTACACACTCCCCTTTTTCTCCTTTTATAATTGACATTAGTTACTCCCCCTATATTATATATATGGAGAAAGTATTGTTTTCGTCAAAATTTTCGAGTTTGAGTTTTGAGTGGGGACCCAAATAAGTGTTTTTCAAAGTGAAGTTTGTGTGAGTGTTTGTGTCTGTATATATGTGTGGTTGTGCACAGAACTACAGACCACACCTGTAGTTCGACTTTGATGAAATTTGGTATGTAGGTACTAATCCATGGTATCTCTAGGTTTTTTCACTTTTTGAAATTTTGCGTCAGATTCCTGACAACATTTATTTGTTTGTATTTTGTACCTAGCACGGGACGGGGCTCCCTGCGGGTGCAGCCTTTGCATATGTCTAAAGCTGGCTCTGGGTCTACCATCCAGTAGGCTACTCTGATGGGAATAATAATTGCCCTTAAGTCAGCTGTGAGAGGCCTCATAAAATATATTTCTATTTAAACTAAGACTATTTTAAACTATTACCCATTTAAACAATTATAAACTAGTATTTAGGGAGGCAAACATTGCTGCAGAATATTTTATCAGTGCTTCTTTTAAACACTGATATTTATTTTCCAGATAAAGAAAACATTCTGAAAATAATAAAAGTAAATATGAAATGCGCTGTGTGCTGTGCTTATGTTGTTAAGGTAAGTCCTTAGGCAAACACAGTGTAAACATTTATTGATAATGATTTTAAGAAAATTAATATCATTAACTTCTAATAATCAGTATTCTATTTAGAGGTGCAGAGTAAAAGAGAGGAGTGTGATATAAACAATGATTTGGCCACGCTTTCCACTTAAGGAATCTACATAAACTTGTCATAAATTTATTGGTGGGAATTGTTGTATATTAGTTCCTTTAAAGTTTGTGTGTTGTTAAAAATAAAAGTGATATTCTGTTAAAAATTTTAGTTTCAATATATATAGGTGTGTGTTTTAACCCAAATATGAGTGAAGGATGAGTGTGGGATGAGTAGGACGATCTTGTAGTCTTGTTAGTGACTAAAGGCTGACATGTTCCTTAGATAGAGCTGTTAATTAATAGCCCATACAGCCAATGGCAACTAAGGGAGCTACAGTTTATAATGGAATCCGAACCACATGTTTGCCTTGTAATTAACGAATTGGTCTAATTATCAGGATAGCACTGCAGGTAGTCGTAGCCTAGTACTCACTAATGCGGATGTTAATCCACACCAGGGAGTAATCGCATCAAAAGTGCATGCCTTAAAATATCACAATTCGTGGGTTATTACACCCATTTAAAGTGTGGACAAAGCACCTTATCATCAAATAAAAACCAAGCTGAGAAAAAAAATTATTTTCATAGTACTGAGCCGGGTCAATGCTCGTGTCGCCACTCTCATATCCCCGACTCATTTTTTTATAGTATGTATAAGTTGTCAGTGTGTTTGTTATTTTGTTGGCTGTGTGCTGTCAGGCTTTGGAAGTCCATGGACGGAAGCAGACCGTTAGAGCGTTGAAAATTTTCGTCAGCCACACATGTTCTCATTTTGTCTTGTTAAATGTTTCTACTAGAATTTTTAAATTTTCCCTTTTTGTTCTGGGATTTAGTTTTTGTATCATGCGTGGCTAATTAGGTTGAAACGTCCATTTCTATGGGGTCAATTTCTCGAGATAGTCTTTCTGGAACCGCAGCTAACTTCGGCTGCCCCAGGATGGACCGCTGACCAACCTGTGCATGAACTGTGTTTTTTCTATCTGTGATTTTTGAATTAATTACAAAAAAAAACAAAAGGAACTTTAACTCACGATGAAAATTTAGGAAGTTTAATTCAGCTGTTTTGCGTTTGTTATATATTCTATTTATTGTTAATTAGTTTTATTAAGCTAGTAGTTTATTTCATTAGGAACCCACCCTTTGGCAGAGGCCTCCCATTGGAATTCCGCCCAATTGTTCTAAATTTCGATACGCAAATTATTTCCTTAAGAATTTTTCTAACCGTAAAAATGTTTTTTTAATATTTCATTTTGGTGGGTGCACCCAACCTTTACCACTGAAGCTTAATTATTCAGTATTTTGATTTATCCTGCAAGTTTTTTAAAATTTTAAACTGATTAATAATATTTTATGATTTGTGATATCTCTCACAGGTAGGTATAGTGTTTTTGAACTTTAATATATTTTTTCTTGCACGCCAAATCCACCCTTTTATTGGTACCTTTGGTAAACCTATGGTCTGGACACCCACATAGTTAATTATATATTTACTGCACATGGGTAGTGCGTTTCCAGTTTTGGGTGGGGTCGAGGCTGGTGTCCGTTTCAGATAATAGCAGAGCGTGGTTATTTGGCGTGCAAAGCCCTCAAAAAGGGGGGGACTTGTGGAGATGTGGATGTTTCTCAGTTTTGAACGTTTAGTTAAGTTGTGTAATTGTTGTTGTGCGAATTGTTTTGCTGTTGTTGTGCGACATGGCTGTTTTGCTGGTGCCTGAGCATCTCTCAAAACCGGAGTTGGTTTTTGAGGTGACCTCCAGGTGTGGAGGGGTGTGTGAACCGTTAAGCAATGTTCGGGGGTTGAGAACCCAGCTGCGTGAATGCATGAGCCTTGAGCGCTCGTGGCATGCCACTTTTGTTCTGGAAGATGAAGTAATAGCCAGTAAAACTCGTATTGAGGATTTAGAGGATGAGATTGCAGAGGGGTCCTTGCCTTTGACAGGTACGGCCCGGGTAAAGTTAGGTTGTCATTTGTTGCACTGGGTTGCTGCGGGTTGCGCTTGTTGGTTCCGCACCCGGGGTCAACTCAGAAGTGAAAGAATGGGCACCAAGTACTTCTCAGAAGTTGACTTCCGCTTGGAAACGTTGGAGGGGGTGAAGTATCTGAAGGAAAGGGAGGATGTTTCAAAATACAGGGCCGTCATGTTCCCAAAGAATGACGAGTCAGAAGTTGTTATTTCACAGAATGTTGTTGTGTCTGCTCTGCCCAATCTTGGGGGACAGACTGTTTTGCACACACACCCCCTTCCGTACCTGATTTAGCTCATGGCTCCCTGAACCGGCCCTTCTTAGCTTTCGCTAAATTGCCCGACCCACTTGCAGGGACCTTGCAAGGTATTCCTCGCACTGATGGGCTTGAAATCAATGTTCTTTTGGAGTTTTTGGGGAACCTTTTGGAACTCAAGGAATTTCGCAGCATGACAGACTCAATGTTGATGGAGTTTTGTCAACAATTTGTTTGGGCCCTTTCCCTTTGAGGGATAGAGTCTTGGACTGTTTGAGACGTGGGACGTTCTTTGACTCTTTCCGTGAGGAAGTGCTAGAATATTTTGTTCCCGTCAGAGTGATGAGCGCTTGCGTGCTGAGCTTTTGTATAGGCCTCAGGAACCAGCCGAGACACTGAGTCGTTTTAACGGGGAGATGCGAAGGGTGTTGAGATTGGGTTTCAGTGAGCGTCAGTTGGTGGATTTGATCTTGGAGGGGATCAAACCTGAGGATCGCTCCCGCTTGGTTTTCTGTGTGCGTCCATCTTCTTTTGCAGAACTGGATCGATTCGCCATTGCTTCTAGAGCGGTCCAGGATTCCCGAAGGAGAGATTTCATGGGGCATCATCCCCGCGGCCCTCCAAGACCGGTTGTAGCTCCGGTGCAGCCAGGACCGGAAGTACAGAGGTTTCAGGGGCAACCCCCCATTTGTTTTGGTTGTGGTCAGAGAGGCCATGTTAGGAGATTTTGCCGCCAAAACCAGAAAGAGGCAATAACAACTCCTGACTAGCCGTTTCACGGGGGAATGTTAATGTTGTTTCGCCCCTTGAAGATGCATGCAAAGAGAGTTACAGTAAAAGTTCAAGAAAATTAATTTCTTGTAAAAGGTCAAATGAGAAACATAGTAAGTCAAGCTTTTCTAAAAGTGGGGAGGTTGCAGCCTTGGCTGCACTATGGGTGAAGACTAGTCGCTCAGCCTGCCCACAGTTGGACATCTTGGTAGGCAACGTGGAGCAGAAGGCCCTTGTGGACTCTGGGTCAGCTCGCAGTCTGATTTCCCTTACCTTTTATGAGGAGTTGTTATCCGTTGGGCTTATTAGGCAGGTTGAGCCCAGTTCCCTTATCTGCTGGATGGCATTCCGCACCCCTTTACCCATTATCCGTGAAGCCCAATTCAAATTGTAAACTCATGGTTTTTCCTGGTATTGGACTTGCTTGGTAGCTAGAGAGTTGTGTTTTCCTTTCATTCTGGGGGAAGATATTATATGGAAGTCTGGCATGATTTTGGACTTAGGGCGTGGCCAGTGCTTCTTTTTATTTTCTCGACGGGTGTCAATACCTTTTTCTGATGGAAATCCTCTTGGCGCAGCTACCGGAAAGCCTGATGCGGGAAAAGCTGAGCCTGTCGATCAGTTAGGGCATCTGACTTCCAAAACTCCAAAACTGAAGATCACTAGTCTACTGGAGTATGAGATCCGACTATCTGACACCCGTCCTGTACGCTCTCATCCGTACAAGTTAGCTCCTCCCAAGATGGAGACTTTGAGAGGAATCATCAATGAACTGCTCGATAATGGGATGATTGAGCCTCCGCGCTCAAGTTTTGCCAGTCCAGCATTTCTAGTACAGAAACCAAAATGCTCACTAAATGAGTAGTAACATTTGCTTATCATAAATATTTTCAATTTATTTTTAAATGTCTTAATATTATTAATTTCCATGATATCTTTAGGCAGAAAATAAAAAAAACCTAGTACCTGCAGCGGTGGGGTTTTATTGTAAAACTCTAAATTATGAATATTGTATAATTTTTCTTGAGTTGTTTTAATGTCTGGTTCAGTTCCCTGTCTTTGGTTATCCTTATATGTTGGCTAAGGTCAATAATATTTCCTTTTTAGCGAATTTCCCTATAGGGAAGTAGCTATTACCGTAGGTCTCATGGTAAGACCTAAGCCCGGGACCGATTTACTTTTTCATTTTGATGTCCCCAGAGGCCAAAAACACCATTCGTTCAAATTTTTATATATCTATATATATATATATATATGTGTGTGTGTGTGTGTGTGTGTGTGTGTGTGTGTCCATCCGCACGATAACTTGAGTAATTTTTGTCCGATTTTGATAAAATTTGGTTTGAAGGTGTAAGGCGGGATAAACTTGAATGAGTTCGCGAACCAGCTTGATCGGACTATGGGAACGGGGGTTTATGGGGGGTTTTATGGGGTAAAAATAGGTTTTTCCCATTTTTGACCCTAAAAACACAAAATTTCACAATTTATTTTTAAACCATTTTGTAGAGCTTAAAAAAACAAATAATTTAGTATATTGAAGCGTTATTATGCGCCTAATTGTTACGGAGAAAATTCAAAAAAATTGTAATTTTAAAATTCCCATGTTAGTCTTATGGAAAATAAGTCAACTGTTGTAGTTTGCTTGTTTATGTAAATATTTTGATCAAATTTGGAAAATACATGAATTTCTTACTAAACCGCAGTACCTTTTAATATTTTACATAAAAAAAACTTTTTTACCCTCCCTGTTGCAGCAAACTTATGTAGGTACTCATTAAACTAATTCTGTTTAAATAGGGAATAAATGTGATATTTTTAAGGAGACATTTTAGTTTAAATCCAATCAGGCAAATGGAAATGGGGTAGCGGATTTCTACCCCCGGATATTTACCCCCATGAAAAAACGCCTACGTCATTTTGACGTCACGAGGGGCGGGGCCTATACACGGTCGAGAAACAGCCCGCGACTGGAAATTTACCCCCAATATATTATTAAATAATCAGCATGTAATTTTTTGATTATAAAGTGATTTACCATAGCACGGAAATCTACCCCCGGACATCTACCCCCAGAAATCTACCCCCAGACATTTACCCCCGGATATCTACCCCCAGACATTTACCCCCAGATATCTACCCCCGGACATCTACCCCCGGATATCTACCCCCGGAAATCTACCCCCGGACATCTACCCCCAGATATCTACCCCCGGACATCTACCCCCAGACATCTGACCCCGGACATCTACCCCCGGAAATCAACGGCTCTTCGGTTAAGCATTGTCTTGCAAAAAATTGGGGGTTTGAACCAAATGTATTTTAATTCAAAAGTAGTGAGGCCATATTTTAATGGCTTAAGTTACTCGTGTCAATCCACCGAATCCAAAAAGACTATTTAAATCGAATCACGATCGATGCTCCAGTTTTTGAGAAGAAGGCCACGTAAAATACCTTCTGGGCCTTGACAGACAAGACAGAAATTGAGATAAAGACTTGTTTTGGCTTCTTTAATGTATGAAACGTAAAAATGACCAAAAAATATGTAATTTTAAGCAATGTTCATACTAAACTCTAATTTCATAAAAATAAATTCGTAAAACCAAAAGAACCATGTATGAGGTAAAAATACCTTCCCTATCCCGAAATATCAAATTTTATTCTTTCACATTATTCTCCGTTATTTCACAACCAGCATTGACAACCAGAACCAATCATAAAATATTTTTATGTTTTATTTTTTACGATTAATTATTTGTGTAAACAACTAGACTTTTTAGCCAATGTAAAACTCCGGATAGTGTCTACGACATAGGGATTATGCTATTTCGTATTACTAGGAGGTAATTGATAGTGAAAAAATTATTAATTCATTAATCAACAAGCCTGTGGCAGGATTTTTATCAACATTTAATTGCATTTTTCCCACTAGTAATCAGAAAATAACCTCCTTCAGTGATGTGCCCTTCGTGCATGCGCCGTTAGCTATGAGTTCATGTGAAAATTGGTTAACAATTTAAATCACTGTCTGAAAATAAATCAAATGCTTATGGGGTAAACCTTTGGAGCCCTTTATCAAAATATCCTTTTTAATTACCATTTGCGTTGCACTGAATCTTAAGCTTAAAAATGACACCTAAATCAGTAACAGCTTAATGAATTTTGAAGATAGATGACAAGACAACGACATATCACATGCTTAATACTAGATATTAGAGGGTAATTATTAAACGAAGAGCTATTGATTATTTTTATAAACCAATTACTAAAATCAACTACAACAATGAATATTGACCGATACGTAGTGTAGCACGGGGGTCGGAAATAAATAATTCCGGGGTCGGACATTTATGATTTGACCACTGGGGGTACATTTCTGGGGGTAGATTTCCTGGGGTAGATATCCGGGGGTTGATGTCTGGGGGTAAATGTCCGGGGGTAGATGTCCGGGGGTAGATGTCCGGGGGTAGATGTCCGGGGGTAGATGGCCGGGGGTAGATGTCTGGGGGTAGATTTCCGGGGGTAGATGTCTGGGGGTAAATGTCCGGGGGTAGATGTCCGGGGGTGGATGTCTGGGGGTAGATTTCCGGGGGTAAAGTTCCGGGGGTAAAGTTCCGGTGTCAGGTTTATTAGCATTTTGATTAATTAAAACTGTTAAGTAAACCGTGAAATGCGAGTTGATTGAATATACAATAATTTATCCATCCTAAAAGTTCGCGGCCGGAAATCTACCCCCATACATGTGACGTCAAAGTGACGTAGGCGTTTTTTCATGGGGGTAAATATCCGGGGGTAGAAATCCGGCGACCCATGGAAATTCGCTAAGTCTGCAGGTTTGCTGCGGCGGGGGTATCCTTTTTCTTTTTAATTGTGGAGTGATCAAGCTTTTAGCCTTTGGGTAAACTCTTAACTTTATTTTTGGAAAACACAAGTAAAAATGTTTAAGAATACTTTGTATTTATCTTAAATCGGTGCAAAATCTAGTCCAGACCAAGTTTCTTGTGCCAGATAGTTATTGAAATTAGCGATATTTTGATGAGTAAATTTCTGATTTTCTTGTGTTGAAGGTTATTAGCGAATTTCCCTATAGGGAAGTAGCTATTACCGTAGGTGGCATGGTAAGACCTAAGCCCGGGACCGATTTACTTTTTCATTTTGATGTCCCCAGATGCCAAAAACACCATTTGTTCAAATTTTTATATATGTATATATATATATATATATATAGAAATTTAGGATTTCTAAATAATTGAGCATCCTAATCGGATAGTTCTGTTATTATAGCTGATATTGATAGTTTATTTCTTGGAATTGATGTAAATATAATATCGATACTACTTTTACCATCCAGAGTTACTCTAGTCGGAAAATCTATCAAGTATTGCATATTAAATTCTTTTAAAATGTTACAAAATGTTTTATACCCAGGAGAATTTTTTAAAACATTAATATCACCAGCCACTATTAGGCCTACTCTTGAGTATTTTTTAAATATGCTTTACAATTACCATGATTATCCTGTCTGTAGATATATTATCATCAATTGGCAGAAAGTTTCAATTTTGCAGTGTTCTAGTCTGCAGGCAGTAGCAGCACTCTGTGGGCACGTGTTTTGCAATGCTTGTCTCGAGGCCTGTACAAACGCTCAACACCAAGATTGTCCTGTGTGTAGATATATTAACGATTGGCAGAAAGTTTGAATTGTGCAGCGTTCTTGTCCGCAGGCAGTAGCAACACTCTACTCTGTGGGCATGTGTTCTGCAGTGCTTGTCTGGAGGCCTGGACAAACGCTCAACACCGTGTAGATATATTAACGATTGGCAGAAAGGTTCAATTTTGCATTGTTCTTGTCTGCAGGCAGTAGCAGCACTCTGTGGGCATGTGTTCTGCAGTTCTTGTCTGGAGACCTGGACAAACTCTCAACACCAAGATTTTCATGAGTGTAGGTATATTAATGATTGGCAGAAAGGTTCAATTTTGCATTGTTCTTGTCTGCAGGCAGTAGCAACACTCTGTGGGCATGTGTTCTGCAGTTCTTGTCTGGAGACCTGGACAAACTCTCAACACCAAGATTGTCATGAGTGTAGGTATATTAATGATTGGCAGAAAGGTTCAATTTTGCATTGTTCTTGTCTGCAGGCAGTAGCAGCACTCTGTGGGCATGTGTTCTGCAGTTCTTGTCTGGAGACCTGGACAAACTCTCAACACCAAGATTGTCATGAGTGTAGGTATATTAATGATTGGCAGAAAGGTTCAATTTTGCATTGTTCTTGTCTGCAGGCAGTAGCAACACTCTGTGGGCACGTGTTCTGCAGTTCTTGTCTGGAGGCCTGGACAAACTCTCAACACCAAGATTGTCATGAGTGTAGGTATATTAATGATTGGCAGAAAGGTTCAATTTTGCATTGTTCTTGTCTGCAGGCAGTAGCAGCACTCTGTGGGCACGTGTTCTGCAGTTCTTGTCTGGAGGCCTGGACAAACTCTCAACACCAAGATTGTCATGAGTGTAGGTATATTAATGATTGGCAGAAAGGTTCAATTTTGCATTGTTCTTGTCTGCAGGCAGTAGCAACACTCTGTGGGCACGTGTTCTGCAGTTCTTGTCTGGAGGCCTGGACAAACTCTCAACACCAAGATTGTCATGAGTGTAGGTATATTAATGATTGGCAGAAAGGTTCAATTTTGCATTGTTCTTGTCTGCAGGCAGTAGCAGCACTCTGTGGGCATGTGTTCTGCAGTTCTTGTCTGGATACCTGGACAAACTCTCAACACCAAGATTGTCATGAGTGTAGATATATTAATGATTGGCAGAAAGGTTCAATTTTGCATTGTTCTTGTCTGCAGGCAGTAGCAACACTCTGTGGGCACGTGTTCTGCAGTTCTTGTCTGGAGGCCTGGACAAACGCCCAACACCATGATTGTCCTGTATGCAGAGCTAAGTTCGCCACTCCTCCCATGATATCCTGGCCCCTTGGGGACCGCCTGGCCGAGGAAACGAGGATGACTCTAAAACGCTGCAGACCTGATGACTCCGGTAAGATACCGGTAAGACACTATCTACTTAAATTTGTTAAAATTGCTTTAAGTGAAGCATTTTTCAAAGTTTTGATCCTTCAAAGTATTGTAATCATTTCGTCGACTCCAGATATACTAATCAACAACAAGCAACGCACTAACTTGTGGCTTCATCTCTGGTAGATGTTTTATTGAGGTGAACTGAGGACCTCAACATGGTATCTATATATATATAAGGCAAAGCCCTCACTGACTCACTGACTGACTCACTCACTCACTCATCACTAATTCTCTTACTTCCCATTTACCTAGGAGGCTGAAATTTGGTACACTGATTCTTTAGGCATTAAATAGGAAAACTAAGCTGTTTTTATTCTGATCGGACTCTTGGGCTCCGCCCCAGTGGCTCTGGAGTTTCCCATGTTAACCTTATCACTCATATTTAAATGGAATTAATGAATCTTAACAGCTGTTTCAATTAAACAAGTTGGTTCTGTTCTATTATGTTCAATAGCATTTAAGTTACAAGGATTACCAACAGGGTGCAGCACTATTATTTCTTTTACATTTATGACAACATCTAATTTGCAGCCAAAAGGTGAGTGAGCGTAGCCACGAACTTCAACCAGGACGTGATTGAGCCATGCGAACGAGCTCACTTATGAAGTTAAACGGGGCAAAGCCCGCGGGTACAGCTAGTTTTCTTATAATTAAGACTCTGATTTAACTTCATACATTTAATCCTTCTTGGTAGATATGCGTTGAAACATTAGCCTACATATTCCAAGATTGATAACAGGTGAATTATTTTTTCTTAGAAGTATTTTTTTAAAGTTTTGATACATTGTTGATCTAAAGCTATGGACAAGGTGTGTACTTACTTGAGTAACATTGGAGTTAGAGTCTGAATTCATTGATTGAGTTGTGCAGCGTTCTTGTCCGCAGGTAGAATGATCCATTTTTAACCAAAGTTTTAAATCCTCAGAATGGTTATGCTTTAAGTTGAAGCCTCAGATATTCCTAGATTAATAACTTTAAATTATCCCTAATTGGGTAGTTGTTGGTGTTTAAAAATATTGCTGAGTATTTACGAGCAATGAGCATATTGACTTTTTTGGCATCTATATATATAAAAGAGGATGTTTGTATATATATTTGTTTGTTTGGGGGTGATAAACTCGGACACCGCTGAACCGATTGCCACGAAACTTGGTACATACGTGTAGATTGTAGAATGTCATGGAATAGGTTTATACTTATACACCATCAATTTCGTGATCCGTCCAATAGGCTCCGCCCCAGTGGCTCTGGAGTTTCCCATGTTAACCTTATGAGAAATGGAATTAATGAATCTTAACAGCTGTTTCAATTAAACAAGTTGGTTCTGTTCTATGATGTTCAATAGCATTAAAGTTACAAGGATTACCAACAGGGTGCAGCACTATTATTTCTTCTACATTTATGACAACAGCTAATTTTCAACCAAAAAGGTGAGTGAGCGTAGCGAACGAGCTAACCTGAAGGCAAGTGAGCGTAGCGAACGAGCTAACCTGAAGGCAAGTGAGCGCAGCGAACGAGCTCCAACCTAAAGGTGAGTGAGCGTAGCGAACGAGCTCCAACCTAAAGGTGAGTGAGCGTAGCGAACGAACTTCAACCAGGACGTGATTGAGCCATGCGAACGAGATCATCTTGAAAATTAAGAAGTTAAACGGGGCAAAGCCCGCGGGTTACAGCTAGTTGGCTATATAAAAATTTGTTTCTAATATGCGTGGGTAAATTCTAGAAGTCAATACTTACTTACTCATGTACTTCATACTTCTTCCCTTCATCTTTGACCAGTGATACTGGATAGATGGTGTCAATAATACCTTTAAAACTAATATTTAGGACTGTACAAAACAAATATTTAAAACTGTACACTATTTACACATTTTGGGTCATATATTTGGCGGCAGGTCTTTGCAGAGCTAGGCCTTAGATATTTTGGGTCTCTGCTTGATAAAACTCCTCAATGGAGTAGAAAGGATTTTTCCTCAACCAGCGTTCTACCCGAGTCTTGAATTTCCCTGCCTCCAGATTTCTTTCACTGGTTGGGAGCTTGTTGAAGAGTTTTATTGCCAGGACTGGGAAGCATTCCTTCTTTTTACTCAGCCTACAATAAGGGATATCAATTTTTTCCCTCCCTCGGGTGTTATATGGGTGCAGTGCAGCTCCCCTCTCATAGAGAGCGAAGATATAAGTTTTCCCTGACATAAAGTAGGCTAAGAAGAATATATTGGCTATACACGGTACAGACTTCAAGTTTTATAAATATAGGTTTGCAGTGATGTAGAAAACCAGCAGAGTCTATGATTCTCAAGGCTTTTTTCTGCTCAAGTAGGATATTATTGCATCCCGATACGTGGCCCCATACAGCTGAAGCCCATATATAATATGACTGTAAAACAGTGCATAATATACCATTAATAGGTGCTCCTTAGATAGTAGAGGCTTTAGGCGTCTGAGGTGACTTGTTACTTTAGCTAGTTTTAGGCAGATGTTGGCCGTGTGGGGTGTGACTGTTCCAGCTAAATTTAGCATCAAGGGTAAAACCCAGTAACTTAACTTCCGGAGAAGTTGATGATTGGCTTAAACTGAGGCCACATATAATTTCTTGTGTCTTGTCTTAGTTTAAGCTCAGCTTATTGTCGAGAAACCACTGTTTGGCCACAACAAAGTTTCCTGTTACCGATTCCTAGTAGGCCAGTAAAATTAGTAAAAAAAATTGGCTGTGCCTGGAAATTATTCTCGGAAAGCTAAAAATCGTTTTAATCCTTTTGTTTTATATAGAAGTAAAAGGATTTGAAGTTTGTCCCATTTTTCCAGGTGAGCTTCTGACCTGGGACCACAAAAACCTTGAAATTTAGAGTTATTTTTTAGTTTTTACTAAAACGTCAAAGAACCGTCCAGCCTACAGAAAAACACATAATATAGGAATTGTAGAGCGTAAAATTCCGCATCCATTGAGTATATGGTGATGAATATCGAACCAATATTAAGTTATTTATACAGTAGTAATTTAAATAAAGTTATTTTATTAAGAAATTATTGAACATTGCATATTTAACATGTATATTTCTTCTAGAAAATATATTCCAAGTACATTATTATTTACAAAGTAATTAATACGAATTACAAATACCCTCGCCGCAGCAAACCTGCAGACTAAGTGATTTTCCATTTACATGGCTGGATTTATACAAAAATATTCCCTAAAAATTGTCAGATTTATTTCTTATTTAATTAACATTAATTTTAGTGACTACTTAGGTTTGCTGCTACGGGGAAGATATTGAGATGTTTTTTTTTTATTGCAATGTCGATAGCTTAGTATTAAATAAACACAATTTCCAAATTTGGTTTAAATATATCCATAAACAAGCAAACTACAACAGTTTATTTATTCTCCATAAGAATAACATAGGAATTTAAATTTACAATTTTTTAAATTATCCCCGTAACCGTTGGGCATACAACAACGCGCGCACAGAGGAGGAGGCAGTTAGACCTGCAATTCATGATTAACGACAAAAGAGACAAGTGATCAGTTTTTTGTAATTCGTAATGATTACTTTGTAAATAATAATGTACTTGGAATCCATTTTCTATAAGTAATATAAATGTTAAATATCCAATGTTCAATGATCTGATTTTGATTAAATTTGGTACAAACGTGTAAACCTACATTTATTCTTATGAGTTCACGAACCATCCTAATCGTACTATGGAAGCGGGGGTTTATGGGGGGTTTAATGGGGTAAAAATAGATTTCCCCATTTTTGACCCCAAAAGCACAAAATTTCATAATTTCCCTCCAAACCATTTTGTAGAGATTAAACAAATAAATAATTTATTTGTATATTGAAGCGTTGTTGCATGCCCAACGGTTACGGGGATAATTAAAAAAATTGTAAATTTAAATTCCTATGTTATTCTTATTTCCGAGAGGAAGGCCAAAACAAAAATGGTGGAGCCAAGTAAAGAAAGACATTGAGCAACTAGGAGCAACTGAGGAGGATGCAGAGGATAGAGCAAGATGGAGAGGCTTTGTTGGTGCGGCCAAATATTTTCTTAGATATGCATAGCCCTGAGAGTAAGAGTAAGTATGTTATTCTTATGGAGAATAAATAAACTGTTTTAGTTTGCTTGTTTATGGATATATTTAAACCAAATTTGAAATCTTTGTTCATTTAATACTAAGCTATCGACATTGCAATAAAAAAAAACATCTCAATATCTTCCCTGTAGCAGCAAACCTAAGTAGTCACTAAAATTAATGTTAATTAAATAAGAAATAAATCTGACAATTTTTATGGAATATTTTAGTATAAATCCAGCCAGGTAAATGGAAAATCACTAGTCTGCAGGTTTGCTGCGGCAAGGGTATTTGTAAATCGTATTAATTACTTTGTAAATAATAATGTACTTGGAATATATTTTCTAGAAGAAATATACATGTTAAATATGCAATGTTCAATAATTTCTTAATAAAATAACTTTATTTAAATTACTATAAATAACTTAATATTGGTTCGATATTCATCACCATATACTCAATGGATGCGGAATTTTACGCTCTACAATTCCTATACTATGTGTTTTTCTGTAGGCTGGACGGTTCTTTGACGTTTTAATAAAAACTAAAAAATAACTCTAAATTTCTAGGTTTTTGTGGTCCCAGGTCAGAAGCTCACCTGGAAAAATGGGACAAACTTCAAATCCTTTTACTTCTATATAAAACAAAAGGATTAAAACGATTTCCAACTTTCCGAGAATTATTTCCGGGCAAAAACCTATTTTTACTGGCCTATAGGCCAGGTCAGGTGTTTTGCCTCTTGCAAAAAAGGTGGTATCATCTGTGAATGTATGTGTATGTCTTCCTACACACCGAGGTCGTTAATCAAGACCAAGAAGACAACCGGAGAATACTTTTTGAAACCAACAATCAAAGTATAAGGACTAGATTATGGTAGTTGAATGAGCCAATTTAAGGTTGTTTCCTAACTACGGAAAGTCAAAGTTTGATTTATACAAGTCAGCGGGCTCAAGAATGTTAATTTATTCAGATTATTTTATTAATTGATTAATTTGATTAATTTATTAGATTATTAGGCCTAATTTATTATTTACTAGCTGTACCCGCGGGCTTTGCCCCGTTTAACTTCTTAATTTTCAAGATGAGCTCGTTCGCATGGCTCAATTACGTGTTGGTTGAAGTTCGTTCTCTACGCTCACTCACCTATAGGTTGAAGCTAGTTCGCTGCGCTCACTTGCCTTCAGGTTAGCTCGTTCGCTACGCTAACTCGCCTCCAGGTTAAAGTTCGTTCGCTACGCTCACTCACCTTTTGATTGCAAATTAGCTGTTGTCATAAATTTAAAAAAACAATAGTGCTGCACCCTGTTGGTAATCCTAGTAACTTTAATGCTATTGAACATCATAGAACAGAACCAACTTGTTTAATTGAAACAGCTGATAAGATTCATTAATTCCTTTTAAATATGAAAAATCATAAGGTTAACATGGGAAACTCCAGAGCCACTGGGGCGGAGCCCGAGGGTCCGATCAGAATAAAAACAACTTAGTTTTCCTACTTAATACCTAAAGAATCGGTGTGCCAAATTTCAGCCTCCTAGGTAAATGGGAAGTGGGAGAATTAGTGATGAGTGAGTGAGTGAGTGTGTCAGTGAGGGCTTTGCCTTTTATAAGTATAGATAAATTTCGAATTCTTCAACAGTGTCCATGTAATGCCCTTTGTTGCAAAAATGTAATACTTCTAAGTTATTATGTATGTTGGTGTAATTGTGGTTGGAGGATATAAGATGGTTTGCGTAGGCTGATTTTGAGTTTTTCTTCGGTATGTGTTCTTTAAACCTAGTGGAAAACGATCTTGCTGTCTGACCTATATAAAAATTAGGACAATCATCACATATCAATTTGTAAATTCCAGTTTTATTAATTTTATCAGAATCTGGTTTAGTTCTCTCAGTGATTATCAGTGACAATCATTAGTGAGGGCATTACATGGACACTGTTGGAGAATTCGAAATGTATAAAGCATCAAAAAGTCAACCACAAAACATCCTGAACGAGAAATTGTCATTCGAATCCAACATTATTTATAACACCGCCATCCATATCACCAGTAAGCAGACAAGAAAAGAGCGAGATAAGGATAACACAGGGGTAGGGGTCAACGCTGCCGACACGTGACAGTCGCGACTTTTACCTTCCACCGGCGCCGTGTCTCGTGAATCAGCGTCTGGTCGACCAGTTTTATTAAATGTATTTTCGTGTGTGTCATATCTGTATGTGTGTCCCGTTTATTTATTTGTTTATATTTTTGATGAACTCTGCATGAGGGATTAGCAAGACATTCTGGACCTGAAGATGTGCTATTTTTGAAAAGCATGAAACAGCTGTAGTCATCATACTACTAAACTGATCGTTTTGACAGAAAACAGGTAATTTAAACCTATATTAGTTTATTCAGACGATCTAGAGGCCATTCCATCATCTAATTTCTCTCTACACTATTGAATCAAGACAAAATTTTTTCTTTTCAGATTTTGAGTCCGAGAAAGAAAATGAAAACAAGAAGCTCAACAGCAAAAAAAGAGCAAGAAGGTGTCAAAATTATGTGATCTTTGCTCGTAGAAATGTAATATTATTGTTGATGCTTATGTCCTATGGCATAACTGCCTCTCTGGTACATTTAATGCCACTTTGGCAGACATAAAAATACACTGTCTTTAATTAATAATGCTTATATTTTTGCTTTTTGAATATTAGGTATACTATTACACGGGGTAAATAATACTTTATTGTGAAACATAATCGGATAAATTATTAAGTTAATTTTAAAGTTATTTTAATATCTTTATACACTTTGAAAAATATTAACATGGGCTTTAAGGGTTGCCATGCTGGTGACGAAATAACAACGAAATATAAACAGAAAATCAAAACAAATGGAAAAAATAATACAATCAATGTTTTATTTACAGCGTGAGGTGAAAATAGAGAAGCCTGTACCTACTTTTGACTTAAAACTAGACATTCCATCCCTATGTGAAAGTTGTCGCCAGTTTTAATTAAATCCGTCGTAGTTGATGTGGGCCACAAACAGATTGAGCTGATCAAAATTACTAATTTGTCTCGAATACACGATGATTTTTACCAAGTCAAACTTATGGAATGATCTATTAAGAGCTATAGCATCTAACTGTTATGACCCATCAGCTTTGTCAGCAACAAAAAATAAGATAGAAAATACAATTTTAGACACAAATACTGTGACTGGTTCACACAACTACATGTTTTTAATTAAAAAATGGCGACAACTGGTTCATATAGGTGGAATATCTACTTTAGTATCCAATATTCAAAGCGGGTACATTACATAATTTTGGTCGAGTTTTCGACCACTGGACAACCACTAGTTATTATAAAAAGAAACTTCCTATTTTCATCCAATATGTTTGTCACTGATGTAAATAATTATAAAACACTCAAACCTTTGCCTATAACTACTTATAACCTATAACCTGTAGACTATAACACTTTCTCTCCCTATAAATAGTATGGCCAAAGTATTATTTTCGTCAAAATGTTGGAGCCTGTGTTTTGGCTGGATACCTGTTTTATCCCCTCTGAAGCTAAAAAAGTGGCTTTGAAATAGTGTGTCAGTGCGTGTGTTTGTAAGTGTGTGTCCAGCACGATTAAAAATCATCCGATTTTGATGAAATTCAGTAACATTTAAATAATAATCACTTTTTTATGACATTCCTCGTAGCAGCAAACCTAAGTACTCATAAGTATGTATGTAAAGCTAATGTTATTTCTATGGGAAGTAAATCTACATGTTTTATGGAATATTTCAGAGGAAATCGGACCAGGAAAATGAAAATTCGCTTAGTCAGCAGGTTTGTTAATTGCAGGAGGTGTTTATGTTATATTTTTTTAACAAACCACGAATTACCGAAATTGATAGCCAATTTGTTAGTAATAGCGTAATAGCTGAGAGAATAGACCATTGGTGGTCTATTGTCTGTGGTAATAGTTTATACCCCCGCCGCAGCAAACTAAGCGAACTTCCATTTGCCTGATTGAATTTATACTAAAATGCCTCCTTAAAATATCATATTTATTCCCAATTTAAATAGAATTAGTTTAACTAGGTAGTACTTAGGTTTGCTGCAACAGGGAGGGTAAAAAGGTGTTTTTTGTTATAAAATATAAATATTTTAGTAAGAAATTAATGTATTTTCCAAATTTGATCAAAATATGTCCATAAACAAGCAAACTACGACAGTTGACTTATTCTCCATAAGAATAACATAAGAATTTTAAATTACAATTTTTTGGAATTTTCTTCGTAACTATTAGGCACATAATAATGCTTCAATATAATAAATTTTTTTTAAATTGTGAAATGTAATGTTTTTAGCGTCAAAAACGGGAAAAACTCCATTTTTACCCCATAAAACCCCCCATCAACCCCCGTTCCAATAGTCTGATCATGCTGGTTCACAAACTCGTTTGAATAAATGTAGGTTTACACGTTTATACCAAATTTAATCAAAATCGGATCATTATTGCTCGAGTTATCGTGCTAACGGCACACACACACACACACACACACACACATATATACAAGGTGTTTTTTTTAAACTTGCATCTTTATTTATGTAAAACCCGCAATAGATAGAAATATGCAGTTGGTGGGAATCATCTGTTGACGTAGGGGGCACATTTTTTAAATTCAACGTTACATTCACATTCCCCCCCTTTCCTCCCTGCCCCCAACTTATTTTTTTTTAATAGCAAGGTACCCCTTGTGACATATCAAATAAAAGAGCATGAAAAAAGAAAATGTTTGTTGAAAAAAAATTTGAATCGGCTCATGAATTTGTGAGAGAACCCCCCCCCCCCTTTTCCCCTACCCATGACTTACCCTACCCTTACCCCTACCCTTACCCTTAACTTACCCCTACCCTTGTGACCTATCAAATGTAAAATAATAAATTTCACCAAACATGTTCTTTTTTCATGCTCTTTCATTTGATATGTCACAAGGGGTACCTTGCTATTAAAAAAAATTAAGTTCCGGGGAGAGGGGGGAAAATATCTCACAAATTTATGAACCGATTTTCAATAGTTTTTCATCAAACATTTTCTTTTTTCATGCTCTTTCATTTGATATGTCACAAGGGGTACCTTGCTATTAAAAAAAATTAAGTTGGGGCAAGGGGGGAAAGGGGGGGAATGTAAATGTAACGTTGAATTCAAATCAATTGGGCCCCCTACGTCGATATATGATTCCCGCAAACTGCATATTTCTATCTTTTGCGGTTTTTACATAAATAAAGATGAAAGTTTTTAAAAAAACACCATGTGTATATATATATATTTAAAAATTTGAACGGATGGTGTTTTTGGCTTCTAGGGACCTCAAAATGAAAAAGTAAATCGGTCCCGGGTCCAGGTCTTACCATGAGTACTATGGTAATAGCTTATACCCTATATGGGAAATTTGCTAATCTATCCTTATATATAATACGTGAAGGTGATTTCTACGAAACACTATACTCCTCCGTTAATAATGGACGGATTTTTACAAACGACGTGTCAAAATTAAGTATTTTTTGTGTAGACGCCCCCTTTCACCAATTCCTGTAATAAAAATCCTCGGGCTTTGCCCCACAGGCCATCAAAGTTGGAGTTTCTCTCATAAGATTAACATGGAGGAATCTAAATATTTGATTGGGAACTTTGTCCCCAATAATTTGAGAGAACGGCTGGGCGTAGAAACTTGGTAGAGGTGTCCAAAGAAAGGTCTTGGTCTGTAGATGAGTTACCAAAAGGAAAACTAAGCAAAATTCCTTAGGACTCTGCCCCAGAAGCTATTAAAGATCCCTCCATAGAGTTGTTTACATTTTGGCCATGTGAATAATACTTTTTAATGAAACAGCTGTTCATTTTTAAATTTTATTTCAAACAACACACAGGGAGCTATGTTATTTTCTTACTAGTGGCTTGTAGGGACATAAGTCCCTAAAAAGCTCAAATGTAAAACAACTTTTTGCAATACCGGTATTTAAACAAACTCAGAATAACATTATCTATGTGTCAGAATAGGCATCCCTACACCATATCTTTTGTGTAAAAACCAGTTTGTTGTTCTTCTTTGTTTGCTTTTGTTGATGTCATTTTCAATAAATAATTTGAATCACTCCAGTGATTTAACATGAAAAGGCAGCAAACATATCATTGTTTGTGAATAAATACTGGTTTACTAAGGTAGCTTTGGTCTTGTGGTTAATGAGGATAAATAAAAGCTTCCCTGTTTGGAATTTTAAAAATTCATTGGAGGTTCGCCTTCAGATGAATTGAAGACGCCTGCAATTTCATCTGCAGTAGGCTTATTATACCTACGACGATCCATATTTATCCTGTCTACAAACCTAAGTTCTAATTCACTGTCACCTTGTACAACCATTTCATCCGAAGCTCTTTTGTAAATTTGTGCAAATGGATTTTCTAATAGAATTTCAGCTAGTTTTGACAATATTTCAGGTTTTAAGTCACTATTTTCTCGACGCCTTTGACGAATTTCTGTTGCTGTTGATGTGTTAATAATGTACAATTGGCCATACACGGGGTCTTCATCATGTTGAGGCAGGAAATCTGAGATTGAACGATAAATCTGTCCTTGAATTTTGAAACTTAAAAAATATAACTCTATGGAGCCAACGACGTTTAACGCTAGAAATCAGCTGTGTGCTTGAATTTTATTGTTATGTTTTGAAGAATTTTCCTAACCTAGCTTTTGTTTGTAAATGAACCTTACTGTTATAAGATGAGTGAAATGGGTAATGAAAAATATTGTTCGTAACCTCCTGTATATTGTCGGGTCAGGTAAAATCGTGTACGTTACACGTTACGCAAGAGCATGTTTACATCACTTAGGTAAATTATGCAACTCGCTTCGCTCGTTGCACAACTTTCACCTGCGTGATGTAAAAACGCTCTTACTACACTTGTAATGTAAATAGCTATTAACACGACAATAACGTAAAAGCATGAAAAATGAAACTTGAGTATATGATTTAAATATAAACAAAGAATGCAGACGTTTTTCCGACTAATCTTCAATATTTCAGTTTTATTATAGTATACATTTCATAGTTGACTGGCTAAAAGTAAACCAAATGTGTGTATTGATCACTGTTTTCAAATCTGTGGCACAGCTGTTTTAATTTCAAAAGATGTAAACAAATTAAACCCCATGTTGTTTTAATGGGAAAAGTTTTATTCTGTTGCGAATTTATGGTAAAAAAATAAGAAAAATGAATAGTTTTCCCTCAAAATTCACGTCAAGACCTTTAAAATAAGACCCCTCCCATCCTTCTACGGCCATCCAGTCACTCACAATTGCTTTACAAAAATTTGACTTACGTAATTATATATACTAGTAGAACCCCGTCGAAATCGACGGTTAATCTTGAGGTTTATGTAAATTCAGCTAACTGTGATAGATAGAGTGAAGTCATTAAAATCTTAGTTAAATGAAGGGATGATAAACATAGTAAAAAGTATGACTATTGTGTTCCCTAAAAAACGTGATTGATGAATTCGTTTAACACAATATTTCTTACCTTTTTATCGGCTTTAGGTTGCCCAAAAGGTTTTTTAGGAGTCTTATAAAATTGTTTGTTCATGAGTTTGTTTCATGTCAAAGCCACTTTCACTATATTGGAG